CACCTCGCGGCGGGTGACAGGAGGCCTGCGCCGCTGGTCGGGAACCGGCAGCTGGGAAGTTTCTGGGTTTTCTTGGGCGAGTTCCTTGATTAGAGTGCAGAGCGGTTGTACTTTTCTGCTTATGAAGGTTATTGCTAGGATAGTAGATAATTGTGAGATAAATGTGTTTAAGGACATCTGTAACTTATACTAAGAAAAAAAAATAGATGTTTTGGATGACTCTGTGTCAGAGGAAAAAAGAAAATGTATGTTTATCTGCTCAGTGCTCCTTTGAAGCATTTTCATCCTTTAATGCAAAAGGGGCTGAAGAGTTGGCCCAATGCAGCCACGTTGCTACCAAAGCATCCTGTGAAACCATATTTTGCTTCTTTCGCTCTTGCTTGAGCAGTAGGTGTGTTACATCAGCTAAGGTTGCCCTGGCATTGCTACTGCCAGCCAAGCTCTTTGCGAGAATCAATGTGATCAGTTCCCATGCTGGTGACTTATATATTAAAAAGAAGAAAAAAAAAAGAAAAAAGAAAACTCCAGACATACAAGCTGTGAGACATTCCCACTGATGCAGTTCTGTGCTTGGATTTGTGGAGTGCCGTGCAGAAAGGATATGTTTTCCAGATCATGTGTGTTGACTCAGCTAGTTCTGTAGGCAGTGTAAAAAGGTAGGCTGACCAGCCTTAGTGAGGTGATCTACAAAACATGCCATAAATTCAGCTGTTCCCTTTTCTTCTAAAATCAATAGTACTCTTGCATCTCTGCATGTTATCTTGAAAGGCAGCTATGATATCTTTTTCTCTTAAAACTGAGGATTTTGTAGGAGCAGTTCAGCATAAACTAATTCTGTTAGTTAGGTCTGCCCTGTGGTGGGTTTTGTTGTTGTTGTGTTTTTTTTTTTTTTTTTTGTCTGTTTTTCCTGTAGCAGACTAATGACATGAAGGACAGTATCATCGGACATAGCTTTGATTTTTCATCCGTTGCTTCTTTTACTGCCTCCTAGCACTTGAGCTGTATATAGCTATCTTCTTACATATGCATATGTCTGTCTGTCTGTTTTTTTTCAACCGCACCAATCTATCCCAGTTCTCCTACAGCTTCTTCCAGGAGCGCATGTGCTCCTTGTCCTTGTTGGATGTTGTGGTTTATTGGAGCTAGTAGCTCTGGGGTGGATGAGGCATTCTCCAGGCTATCTGCACCTGGCATGCTTTACCTGATCAGTAAAATATCCTCTTGAATTTTTAAGTGCCTAGCTTGATTCAAAGACCTACAGTGGGACAAATTAATGGCTTAAGAATTGTTCGTACCTCAGTCTGTAGGAAAAGCAAGCATTGAAGCCCGTTTGGGACATTCCTCTTGTTTCCTCTAGGTGGAACTAGATGGCCCTTCACAAGAAAACCTCGTCTGTGTTCTCCTTTAACAAGGTGGGAGGAGAAGCACCTAGGCAGGAAACTTCCGGAGAGTTAATATTCAACTCTCAATACGCCAGCATTCCTTGGGTGCTCTTAGCATGGTACCTGGTATCCTGCAGGCTTGTTCAACAGGCAAGAATAAGGGGGTTGTCTGCAGCCGTTCTGAGTTGCATGAGCCCCAGATGGATGTTTGCTGTCATGCAGGGGTGCCGTGAGTCATGCGCCCAGGACCATAACTCATCCTGAACCCGGGACCTGCTGCTCTTATCTGTAAAGATTCCCTGGCTCTCCAGATAAGTTGATCTTAATCAAAAGGAACAGAAGGAAACTGAGCACTCCCTTGCGGCCAAGAGAGTAGAGGCAGAAATACGAGGGGTTTGATTAGAAAACATTTTCTAAAAAGTGTGGAAAAAGCTCAGGAAGCACATAAACTCTTGCTTTTATTTGCTTGCTTAGATACATGTGCTTTTTCTCTGGATGAAAGCGAGTTTCTAATCTGTAATGAACTTGTAATTCGCACTGAAGTGTTCTGTTAGAATATTTTTCTTATGTAATAGTAATTTAAAGTAAATTTTATATTTCCTTTGTTGCTCTTAAATAGCTGTAATCAACTTGTCTGGCATCAGAGTATGATTTTTTTTAAGTGAATATCAGCCTGCATAGCGATTTAGGTCTTCCATTTGACACATGGTTTCTTAGCTATATATGAGCACAGTTTGACATACCCCTTTCTCTTGATTTCCAGCAGATCTTTCATAAATAGGAGTAAATCTCTTAATTTTTCCTTTGAGAAAAGTCGCAGTTTTTTCACAAGGTATCCTGTAGGGTAAGCCTAGGAGCAATTAGTCTTTCTCTTTGATCTGTTCTGTCAGTGAATTATGAATAAAATAAACATTTGCTCATTCTGGAAATTATCCATTTGATCTTTTTTTTTCCCCCACGATTTTATTGTTTCGTGTCCATTTTTTGTTGGAATGGGATGGAATGAAAAATTTTACAATGGACTTTGTAATATCTGTCTTGTAGCAGTTCTGGACTTTCAGAGAGCTTGAAGATTTTTGCAGCACCTTTCATTGTTTTTATATATATTTTTTTTTCTTTCTTTTTTTTTTTTCTTTCAGCTCCGTGAAAAAGTTACCCCTGGCGCTACTACTGACAGAAGTACTGTCTTGGCAAGTGTAATTGCTGCTTGCAGAAGGCTGTTCTGCCAGCCTCCAAAAGGTGACTATAGCTTCACTTGCTGAAGAGAAGCAGCGTGCTGAGAACTGCATTTAAGTACAGTTTAGGTTTATTGTTTCATGGGCAGTCATTTTTTTAGTTAACTAGTCATTAATCTTAAGATGGGACATTGATTTATAGTATTTCTAGGAACTATTAAAGATGAGTGACTGCAGTTTGCTTCACTTTATGCAGTACAATGAACTAAGTTTGTCTCTGATTTAATGGACAGCTTGATGTTAGGTAATTAAATAAGTCATGATTATTCTTGTTAAGAGTGATAGATTTATTTATGGGAGCCTTGTAGAGCTTTTGAACCAGAAGGTACGAGCAAGACCATTTTTGCAATTTAGATGTTTCTACCTTCTTTCCTGCTGTACACAGTCAGCCTGTGATTACTGAAGTGTAATGCTAGAATTAAAAACTAATAATGAGCTTTCTTTCTCTTTCTTCATAGGATTTGAGAAATATTTTCCCAATGGGAAGAAAACAAATGGAACTAAAGGTTCAGCTGCAGAAACAAAAGGTACAAAAAACCTGCTTGATTTCAGTTCTTTTCTTAGAATATGCATTCATTAAACTTTCAGCAACATCCTGTGGGCTTGTGAGGTGGGTGGTTTGGGTGTTTTTTTTTTTTTCTTTTTTTTGTCATCTTCATTGAAGCTTTACCAGATTAGTTTAAGACAAAAAAATCTTTTATAACATTTTTTGCTTTCATATTATATATTATACTTACTTTCCCTTATGTTCCTGTTGGACTGCTGTCCATAATTTCTTTTGTCACAGTAATCATATATTTAGATTATAATCTACAGGTATAGTTCTGAACTTTTCCTAGCACAAACTAAAATACCCTTTCTTGATGTAGTTGGTAACCAGAATTGACATTTTGGATGAGAAATTACCATTTCTGAGTAGCTAGAACCGAACATGTAGCCTGTTGCTTGAAAGAGGAGATAGGGCTCCGTCTGGGAGTGCCACTGCTTCCTTTGAAGAAAGGAGAGAGGAGCAAGAAAAGAAAAATCAGCAGTAGCAGCCATTCTGTCATACCAGAAATCTATATAACTGCTCTTCCAGAGAAAAGGAGAAACGTCAAGCCTGGGAGCTCGTGTGAGAGTAGTAATAGGAAGAGCACTTTCCTTTTGGCTTTGTGTAATAAAATGTAAAATCATGCAGCAATACCCAACAATCCTGAAGGAGCTAGGTTGGGTACTGGAATGAGTGCGTGTTGGTGTTGTGCTCCATCTTGTAGTCTTGGATAAGTGTTGAATGTGCCTTGACACATGACATTGCATTACAATGTGCCATGCAGACCTCCTTGAGAGCTGGGTGAGTAGAGGCTGATGATGATGAAGGTGAACTCCTCAGTCCTAGGAGGCTGATACCATGTTGTGCTTGTCCCTAGCTTGTTAAACAGGGCTCCAACCTTGCATTTCAATGCACCCAGACTTTAGAAGGAGCAGAGCGTGACTCATGGGGTAAATTATGGTGGGAGAAATTACTTAAAGCTTGTAAAATATCATCCACAGATAAATCTTTCACATATCTTGGATTAGCACAGTAGAAATGCAATTTTCATGTAGTCTCCATAACATCCTTCTTTCTCTGTTTGGGTCATTTTTGCTTCTTTGTGTCCAAGTATCATCAGTTACACAGTTAACAGAACACTTGTTTTTAACTGCGGGCTATAGGTGCCTCTGCCAAGTGATTAACTACACCTCTGTTTAAGGAAATGCAGTTCTCCAGGAGACTGCATGCTCTTAAGTATCATAGCACTAAACGCATTTTTTTTCAGGTGAGCTCTTCAAAATGAAAATGACTATAAAATAAAAATGAGTGTGAGGTTGGCATAAGATGTAGAAATAATAAAAAAGTATGAAAAGGTGTGAATAATTAAAAAGTAATCATTTATAATCTATTTGTCTCTTGCTAGAAGCAAATCAAGCTAGTGCACGACAGCCTTCTGGGAGTAGCAGTGGAGGAGGTGGCAGCGGTGGAAAAAAAGGTGGCAAGAAAGAAGACACTAACTGGTGGACCAGGTTACAGAAGGTCTTGCCTCTCAAATATCCTTCTTTGTAGCAAATATGTTCTCCCCATGAAATCATTTCCAACTTTTTTGCTATCTAGGGCCATGTTTGATGACCCTAGATTTTCCTTAAGCCTCCTGTGGTGTGGCAGGCCACCATGTATTTCATGGTAACTATCTCTGAGTGACTCCCAACTCAATTTCGTACTCGGATCTCTTGACCGTCACTTCAGAGGCATCTTGACCCTTCATTAACTGACAGAGGAACCTTAATAAAATTTTAAGATACAGGAATATGGTTGCTAGGGGTCAGTATTCTTCTAGCAAAGCCTTAAAAGTTTCATATTTTGTCTCAATATGTCATTTTGAAAAATTCTGTTTAACCCACAGTGCAAAATGCTAACATTTCTAACCTTAATGGAATATATGCATAAGTTCTTTATTCTTTTTTTTTTCTCCCAATTTCTCTCTGAGCTGGTTAGCTGTAGCATGAGAATTATAGTAGCTGATGCTGCCCATATTTTTTTTTTTTCCCATCCTTCCTATCCTTTTTGTAGATCTTGCATGTAGTTCTGATAGGCAGAGAAAGTTGTTTTAAAGCAGAGAAGAAAAGGCTGAACAGAGATAATTGTTGTGCTCCTCTCTCCTAGGGTGACATTCCATGGGATGTCAAGGAGTTCCGCATGTATGTTGTGGGAAGCTCGTTTTTCTGGACCATGGTTGTATACTACTTCTTCTTCAGGGTCCCTGGGAGAGAAATCACCTGGAAAGACTTTGTCAATAACTACCTTTCTAAAGGAATGGTGAGTAGTCAGAATCAGACTGAAAAATCAATGTGCTGAACATGACACTAACTTTCCTTACTCTTTTCTACTTTCCTAATTGTGCATAACTTAAGCACTTTTTAAGCCTGTGTTTTGTTTCTTTGTTTTCTTTTGTTTGTTTGTGTGGCACTTTTTTTTTTTTTGGTGGTGGTGGTTTCATTATTTAAACCAGTTCACCGTGGGGTTTGAGTGGCAATGCTTATGGAAAGGTGGAAGTAGAGAATGAGACAGTCCCTTCTGGGTCAGTAAATTGGCATAACTATTGTAAGTCTCCTTTATTTGTTTTTACTCTTTTATTTCCTATTTTATCTTTGCGTAGAGGCACTATGAGAATTGCAATCATTTTTATCATCAGTATCCTATCTCTCTGTATAACTTCGCAGCCCTCTGCAGTTGGAGTAGGTAGGTCAGTCATACTTCCAAGTTCAGAGAACTGAATGTCTTGCACAGGCCCTTTCCACTTCAGGAAGCCACCAGTTCTTTGCTCGTTACCTACATCTCTTTAGCTTCTCCTGTAGCTTTGGAAAACGTGGACTTGCTTCCTCCTTTAGGTTCCTGCATGCTTCCTGCCCTCCTGTTGCTTTCATAAGCTGCTGGGTAGATTGCTTCCTACCTTTCATTATCTTAGGGCTCTATGTCTATATCTCAGAGCTGCCGTCTCTGCCTCCCTGCTGCTGCCTGGACCGCTGTCTTGCAGTCCTGTCCTCACTCACAGCTGCGTGTATCTTGCCAGCAGAAGTTGCTGGTTGTCCTTGTTGTGGAACAGTAAGACTAACTCAGCAGAAAGAGCAGTGTGACTGTTACAGTGAACGAAACCTAAACCTGGGTTGTGGAAAACAATTATGCAAGTGGCTTATTGCACAAAGCCAGGAACAGTCCCTTGGGCCTCTGTAAGATGTAGTCTGGATATGGAGATAGGTGAAATATGTAGCTGTCAAAAGCTGTGGCTTGCCGTATATGTAGGCAATTATATTATTATTATATATACCCACTCTTTTGCCCTAGTGGTCGTCAGTTAAGGTGACAAAGGCATTAGCACAACCAGGGTTATGCACTCTGCAAAGCTGATTTGGGGTCTTAACTCATATTTGGCTTCAATTCTACTGGAATTGAAATGAAACCTTTTTTGTGAGCTCAGGGAGCTTTTGCTAACCTGGGTGCATTTTGAACCCAACTTGTAGACTGTTGCTAGTTCTAAGTTCTTTAGGGATGCTGAAATCAGTTAGTACATGGAAAAAGGAAGAAGAAATGGAAGTAAGCTGTCCTGCTTCATATTCACTGGTTTTGGCAAACTACATGACTTCTGAAGAAATGCTGTCAAATTTAAGAAGCTACCAATTTGAAGTTTTTTCCATTTCAAAAAAAAAAAAAATTGCCAGGATGCATCTTGAATTTGCAATTGAGCTCTTAATTTTAGTTTACGTGGTGTCTGTTTCCATAACCATTTTTTAAATCTAATTGATTTTATCATGTTTTATGTGGTAGTACAGGAAAGTCTTTTTTCAATAGGAAAACAATTATAAAAGTCACTCTACCTGTGACTTGATCTGATGGAGGTGAGGGGCAGGGTAGGTGGTATGTGATTCTTTTTTGTTTTTGTTCTAGATATGGAACTGGCTTAAAAAATATGAAGTCTTCTGTTTCTTCTAATGTCTGATCACATGCCCGATTCCCGCTTTTTGGAATTTGTGGAAGTGAATTGTAATAGAAATTAGTTTGAAACTTTTTGGGGTTACATGTATCTGAAACCATTCAGATTAGAGAGATGGAATTCACTCATCTGTGTTTTTATGAAGAGTAAATGTTGATACCTCGCTCGCCTACTGGCAAACTTGTAGATTGTGGAGCCATCCTGACCTTCAACATGATTTTTTTTTTTTTTTTTTCCTTTTCTCTCTTGAAAGCAGAAGAACAGGCTCACACAGAGGGTACCTAGATAAGCTAGCTGTGATGGGAGAGCTCTGTGCTCGAGCATATCACAACTTCTTTTTCTTCCCACAGGTGGACAGGCTTGAAGTGGTAAACAAGCGCTTTGTTCGAGTGGTCTTTGTTCCAGGAAAATCTCCTCACGACTGGGTAAACATTTGTTTTTAATACATGAGGCATTAAAACATCAAAGACGATTCTTTACCTGAAGTTTGATGCAGAAAACTTGGTCTAGGAGCATTAATAGCCTCGCAATCTGAAGTATTTTAAGTCTTTTGTTATATTATCTAGCATAGTATGTTTGTCATTTTACTGTGTTGATCATGATTTGTCCTGAAGATATCCAAAAACAATGGCATATTACAAAATCAATGTACAGTTGTAGCTACTAGTTCCTTCCCAGTGCCATAGTCTTACAGGAAATACAGAACATAAATCTTTCTTCTTCTAATGTGTGTATCTGTAACTACTCTTTTCCATCTCCACAAATGTAACAGAGAAAAAAATATAACTGGCTAGGATACTTTTTGATTTTCAAATAACTTTGTTTCCATTTGATTCTATTGCCCTTAAAGCTAAGCTAAGCGCCCAGTTTCTTGGCAGGGGAAGTTAGTGTGTGTTTCAGGGAATTCTCTTTCACAGTAACACAGTGAGAAGGAGGTTAAAGTTCTCCAAAGAATACTACTTAGCGGCAAGTAAGTTTTCTCACTTAGAAAATAAATGAAAAAGATTCATGTATGTAGACGTGAAAAGTTGAAAAGTTTATTTTGAATGTAGTGTCTGGTGGTTTCAGTCCTGTTTAATACACAGGGAACACTTTTTTTTTTTTCTTCTCTGTCCCTTACTGACTTGCCGAAACAAAGTCTGCAAGTCCTTCCAGGGTAAAGTGAAATCAGCAGCAGTTACTTCATCAGTGGGTTTCAATGAGATTTGTTCCTCAGACTTACTTATATACCTACTCTTTAGCCCACATACCATCAGCTGCTTCAGTTTCTCAATAAGCTGATATTTAGGGCTGTGTTTTTTTTTTTTTTCTTCTCTCTTACTAGAGTAAATGGGGGCAAGTCAGGCAAGTCACTGTGCAAAGAGGAAAATGTTCTTGAAAAAGCCCCACTGTCAGCACTGTTTCAAAGCAGTGTCTCCATCCATTTTTTTCCTAATTTGGAAATAAGTGCATCCTGTGCTTTGGGAAGGTAACTGTTTCTGTAGAGGTAATGTAGCCTTCAGTAGTTACATTTGTCTTACCTGAAAGGTTGAGATCTTCAGGTGAAACAGCTGTGACTGCTGATTGCTGACTTATTGCTCTGTTGCTGTCACTGCTAGCTCCCTTCTAAATATCTGCTTACCTACTCAACTTCCACTTGTCTCTGGAGAAAATGTCAGGGTTTCAATCTATTTTAAGTGCACAAAAACTGTTAGGCCTATGATTTCTACAGAAGCCATGACAATGCACAGTGTGTTCTGGATGATGGATCTTATATTTATTAGGTGTACCTTATGAGGTAACTTAAGTCTCTAATTGATGTATTTTTGTGTGTGTGTGTGTGTCTGCATCTATCCTGGAAATTGCATGCATATGTGTTAGAAGTTAGCTTGTAATAAAGCTGAAGTAAAATGAGGCACTTTATGGTGATCTTTGCTTTCTCTTAGCAGTACGTCTGGTTTAATATCGGTAGTGTGGATACCTTTGAACGGAATCTTGAAACTGTGCAGCAAGATCTGGGCATAGAAGTGGAGAACAGATTACCTGTAGTCTACTCAACAGAAAGCGATGGGTAAGAAGCTGTTTAAAAATAGGAGTCTTGATGAGAAATAGTCTTCCTTCCACTAGGAAACTGAAGCTGTGAGACACGCACACATGTTGTTGTATTACACTAGGTGGCACTGTTATCAGAATACTGAACATTTTGTTTTTATCCTTTAATGTTAATTGTCACAGGACCAATTCAGTACTCTATCTCTGTTTTTTTTTTTTTTTTTTAAAAAAAAGTCATGTCTTCTTTAAATATAGCTTTTTATCACATATATCCTTACCTGCACAATTGATCCTTCCCCCAACTGACTTGTAACAGAGCAGGAATCAACACGGCAGAGCAGTCAAGCTCCAGAGCTGGCACTCTATACGTAGAGTTTGAGTGGACAAAATATAAAGTAGAGCTATAGCCTGTTGACTGAGATCTAGCAGGCACCAGTTCCTGCCCACAAATTCAGCAGAGGTCTGATTACCTGGTCTTGCAAATGGCAAGATATTGGTGATTAAGTAAATCATGCTATCCTGCCTGTTGTCGGGTGCTAGAAGATATGTCATGCTTTTAATCTTTGAATTAGTTAAGAAAAATACTGATAACTCCTGTTTTATGGCAATTTTGCTACCCAAGTAGGGAATATAATGGTTCCAATTTATGTTTGCATTCTTTGATCTTCTGTACAGAGCAGAGACTACAGAACTTCTCTCCTGCTAGTGCCTGTGAAATAGCTGTGGTCTATCAAGAAATCCAATCATGGATCTAGTAGCTCGTATCACTAACAGTATGTGCTTGGCTGCTGTGTCTCTATTCTCATTCTGGACATTGTGTTTATTTGGATTTTGGGGGAAGGATGGGAAGTCTGATTTACTTTTCTAATTCATTTTACCAAGTTGCTGCCTGTTTGTCTTTGTGGTAGCAAGGAGAAATGATGCCCTTAACTCTAGAGCATCCTGGGACCTAAGATACAGGATTTGTGTTCCCTGCAGACTCTCTCTGCCACATTTCTGTGTTTCTCTCTAAAGAGACATGTTGTCAAGGTCAGTGTATTACCTAACTGGTCAAGTCCCTACTTAAAGAAAGTGTAGTCGAGCAAAACCTGTGCTTCTGCATAGAGGATGCTCGTCAGCCTCATGATCCACAGCGTAGCCTGGGAAAAGTGTTTCAGCTCACCTCAGCCTCTCCCAAATCTTTTTACTCATTAGACCCTTCTTCCTTGGCCTCGGTCTCTAGCCTTCTCTTCAGTGTCTCTTCTCTGTAGGATTTCTGTTTTATAGGATTTCTAGCTTTGCCCCTGCAACGCTGTGAGAAAGGTAGGAGAGCAGCAGCTATAAGATCTTGATACTGCTTTTCAGTGCCAGATCAGGATCTGCGGAACACTGTGAGGCAGTGAAAGTCACATTTACCCTTTTCAATCTGTAAATCCTTTGCTCCCTTTTGGTAATGCTGCCTCTCTGCATTTTATTTTGCTGACTTGGTGGAACTTCCACTGGGCTGTTCCTTGAAGATTTGAACGAAAAAAAAACCTGTCGTAATAATGAGAACTGTGTTGATACTAGGTTGTGTGTGCTGTAGAGAGCTATACTAGAAGATTGGAGGACAGTCAGGAATGATAAGCAATGGAAGGGAAATCAGAAAGGAAAATACCTTCATGGAAAGGAAATACAGACATTGAAAGAAGAAGAAAGTGTTAAAAGGGGAGCCAGAACTAGGGGAAGAATGATGAGTATAGGGTTTTTTTTGAGAGAGAAATTCCTGCTTGAAAGTGTAGTATATTCCAGGTGTGTTACTTAGTACAACTTATTTGGACAATATAACCACTCCCATAACTAATCTCGTGCATGGGAAGTGACTAGTAGATGGTTACTGGAGAGCTCCTGTTACTAGGTAATACACTCTGCCTCCACAGTCACCACTGTTGCTTGTCGTGCTTGGTTTAAACAGAAAACAAAATCCAAAACTGTTCCTCCTTAAACATCATATATAAGGAAGTGTTACCTTGGCAGGTTGTTAATTTACATTTCCCAGGATTGGGGGTGGGTGGAGTGCAAAGGAATTGGAATTCCAACTTTTCTTTTAATTGTATTTATAGCAGACTTTTCAGTTTGACTTATGTAATTAAGACTTGTTTGTTTGTTTCCAGTTTTATTTTTACTATTTTCCAAAGTGAACATCTTGCTAAAATATCATAAATCTACAAGTTTTATTGGTCCTGCATTTATTCAGGGTTGCTTATGGTGAAGCCAACACTTTGCAGACATTATCATATGCAGTAGTGAATTTTGAGTAATATACGTGTCTGTGAAATAAAGTTAGTCTCATCAGGACTACTAACTTTGGATCTGTTGGATCTAGTAGCTCATACCACTAATTATAAGCATTTTAATGCCCTTCTCTATTTCATTCTTGATATTTGTTTGGATTTTGGGAGGAAGAATAATGTTGTGGTTTTTTTCTTCTTTGTTTTTGTTTTTCTCCTCAGATCCTTTCTCCTGAGTCTGCTGCCTACGATCCTGATCATTGGCTCTTTGCTGTACACGTTGAGAAGAGGCCCTGCTGGCTTAGGTCGAGCAGGACGGGGAATGGGGGGACTCTTCAGTGTGGGTGAAACCACAGCTAAAGTTCTTAAGGATGAAATAGATGTGAAATTCAAAGACGTAGCTGGCTGTGAGGAGGCCAAGCTAGAGATAATGGAGTTTGTTAACTTCCTGAAAAATCCCAAGCAATATGAGGATCTGGGAGCAAAAATCCCCAAGGTAAGGGAGCAGGGAGTTAACAGGCGAGGACTTGATCGTCGTGGTAGCGTTTCTAGATAGTCTGGTAGGCTAAAATGTTACAGCTTGCGCTTTACAGCTTTTCTGCTTTTTTGATCTCTTTGGAATTGGGAAAAAAATGAATAGGCAGTAAGGATCAGCAGTAGATACCTGGTGCTATAGGTTTGTGTGTGCTTCTTCTCAATATGGAATGATACATAGTGTATGTATGTACTATACTGTTGCATACAGCTGTTAGTTGTCTGTCACCTGTGCTGTAGCAAGAGCTGCCTACTCCTGTTCTTTTATTTTTTTTTTCTCCTTGTGTTTGATTAAAGTAGTTTGAAGTTCCTCTTTCTATAAATCTTAAGTAATTGTGACCATGTTGTACCTATTTCTTCTCCTCAAACTAGTTTAAATGAGAGCTCAAATTTCAGTTTCCGTTCCCCTGCTTTGTTTCTTTACACAATTCTGTGACTAGTGAGGGAAAAGCTGCTGGACTTAATATCATAGCACATACAGGATGATTAAATTGATGTTGTTCGGAGTTATGTTTTCATGAGGAAATGTACCTGTTTTTCTTGCAGGGGGCCATTCTGACAGGTCCTCCTGGCACTGGGAAGACGCTCCTAGCTAAAGCCACAGCCGGAGAGGCGAACGTACCGTTCATCACAGTCAACGGCTCGGAGTTCCTGGAGATGTTTGTTGGTGTGGGTCCAGCTAGAGTAAGTTTTTGACCTTGCTCTGTTATTTCAGTGCTGCTTGTTGAAAGGTCGTTGTCAAGGCTGGTAGGCAGAAGTTTGGCTATAGCTGAAGTTCTGTCATCTATACAGATTATGTGGCAAGTAATGCTAGAGGTCTGCCTAAATAATCTTAAAGTCCTAAATAGATGGACTTTTCGGAAAAGGAGCCAAAAAGAGTAGTTCAGTATCTGGTTTCGGGCTGTGTGGACCTTTACCTGTGTGCAGGAACTTAACAAAACAGAACTCTCAAGTTTTGCTCCAAAGTAAATATGTAACTGGGTTAGAAATATGCAGTCAAATAGACTGTTCCTCTGGGAATGCCTCCTCCTGCTTGAAATCTGTTGTATTTCTTCAAAGAACTTTGCTCTCTTTGTGAGGTCAGACTCTTAAATATAAATAGTTGTCTGGGGCATACAGATATGATTTTGGTTGAAATGAGAGTCCAAGGGTCAGGGATGGAGATATCCATCTCTTGCCCTCTGCTTATGTTGTGCTATTTGCAAACCTTAAAACTACCGCTTAAATTTTTCATGCCTTTAAGAGAATTATTATTTAGTAGTGTTAATTTTGTAAGCCATTAATTTTCACAGTGCATGTTCTTTAATAACTTTTAAAACAAGCTATTTTAAATGACTTTGTTGTAGTATATCCATTTTTCCTTTTTTCAATACAGCTACATTTCAAACAAACTTTGAAAAATATCTTTCCC